CAGTATTTGGGTTAATTTGTCATGCTTAATATTGTAACGTGGTTATAATATTGGAATATTTATACTGTAATATTCCTATCTAAATTCTGTGTCACGTAACGATTTCAACAGGCTACAGAACAGAAATCAGTCAGTAGGAATTATACCCGGTTCAGACTGACATACTCCGAATTCTGTTTCCAGAGCAATTATTAATAAATAACCATCTTGAGACTTTCTTAAGTTACAGAATCGAGTCATTCGTCTGGTTAGAAACAGACGCCCTTTCGCGTGCAAATAGGAAGAAGATCGATGCAGTGCACTGTTTACATACATAATTCAGCTAAGTAGATGCTGTCACTTTCTATGGAGTTTGTTTAATGGAAATCAATAATCTATATTTGACTGGGAAATTAGGTTATGGGCTCGAGCTTAGCCTCTCCACGATTCCAAAGAGCTGCTAACATGCCGACACGAAAATCTCAGCGTTATATGGTGAAGGGAAAAGTACCTCACTGAAATTGAATGTTTGTGCTTGGCCAATCCTACTTCTGCTGCCCATCAGATTCAACATTGATACTGTAGAAATAAACGTGTTGCAAGTCTGGCACAAACTATTAACACACATTTTTACATAGATTAGCACGCAGCATAGACTTCCTCACTAGCTTTGTCTATCTTGCATATTCTGAATGTGGATTTGATTTATTACATAAAAACGTATTGTTACCAACTGCATCTTCATTGTGTTGAAAGGCAAAAAGCTGTGGGATTTACTTACTAATTTCCCCTTCTAAGGAGATTAAATACTAGATTTTTGTTTGAGACATTTGGACACTTACATGTAAAGGGAATGAATAAACTTGTATTTTGGATGAGAAAGTGAGAAGAGTTAATGGGTGTAACTTCTGTGTCGAAGTCCTCATGAATATCTGTATTGTATATCTATATTTCTATACATGTGTCTATTTCTGTGTCTCTGTATGTTTGTATTTTTCGTATATTTATGTGCAAGTACTTGTGTGTCTCTACGGATGTGTACTTGTTTTTGTGTCTATTTGTACATCTGTGTATGAAGATGTGCCTATTTGTGTGTCTCTGTATGGTTTTTTATGTCACTATGTGTATCTATATGTAAGCCTGTATGTATGCATGCCTGTTTGTGAGTCTGTGTGTCTAGATGCATGTTGCTTTATGTATATGTGGCTGTTTGTCCATTTGTGTGCCTATTTGTATGTCTCTATGTGCGCCTATTTGTACATCTGTCTATGTGCACCTATTTGTATGTCTCTGTGTGTATCTGCATGTCTCCAGATGTGTATGTGCCCATTGTATGTCTCTATGCTTGTCTACTTAAATGTCTCTGATTGTTTGTGTGTGTAGGTGTCTGTATGTCTCTGTGTGTCAATTTGTAATTTTTTGTATGAATGTGTGTATCTGTATGTCTCTACGTGTGTTTATTTGTATGTCTCTGTATGTGTATGTGCCCATTGTATGTCTTTATGCCTGTCTACTTAAATGTCTCTGTATGAACATAGAACATAGAACATAGAACATTACAGCGCAGTACAGGCCCTTCGGCCCTCGATGTTGCGCCGACCTGTGAAACCAATCTGAAGCCCATCTGACCTAAACTATTCCATTATCATCCATATGTTTATCCAATGACCATTTAAATGCCCTTAAAGTTGGCGAGTCTACTATTTTTGCAGGCAGGGCATTCCACGCCCTTACTACTCTCTGAGTAAAGAACCTACCTCTGACATCTGTCCTATATCTATCACCCCTCAGTTTAAAGCTATGTCCCCTCGTGCTAGCCATCACCATCCGAGGAAAAAGGCTCCCACTGTCCACCCTATCTAATCCTCTGATGATCTTGTATGTCTCTATCAAGTCACCTCTTAACCTTCTTCTCTCTAACGAAAACAGCCTCAAAACCCTCAGCCTTTCCTCATCTGACCTGTCTATTTGTTTGTCTCTGTGTGTATGTATGCCTGCTTGTAAGACTCAATGTGTGCCCCATTTGTATATCTCTTTGTGTGCATGTGTGCCTGTTTCTATGTCTCTATGTGCCTGTTTGTATATCTCTGTGTGCATCTGTGACTGTTGGAAGTCTCTATGTATGCCAATTTTAGTGTCTGTGTGTCTATATCTATTTCTTTATCTGAATATGTGTGTGTGTCTATTTGTATGTCTCTGTAAGTATGCGTGCCTGTTTATATGTCTCAGTATGTGTCTATTTATATTTCTCTGGATCTATGTGTCTATTTGTATGTCTCTGTGTCTATTTGTATATCTCTACATGTATGTGTGTGTACCTGTATGTCTCAATGTATGTATTTTTTATGTCTTTGTATGTATGTAAGGCATTTGGAAGTCTCTATGTGTGTCTACTTGTATGTCTCCTTGTGTGTCTATTTGTACGTCTCTACCTATGTATGCCTGTCTGTATCTCTGTTTCTATTTGTATGTCTTCACATGTGTCTATTTGTATGTCTCTGTATGTATGTGTCTGCTTATATATGCCTGTATGTCTCTGCATTTGTATTTGTATGTCATACACACATGCCTTTTTCTGACAAGGTATTCCTGCACAGGTGAAAACATGCGCCCAAAACTCAGCTTAAGACAAAAGCACTCCACAAATTATTGAATTAGTTCAGACAAAATAAGATTTGAAATAATTTAAACTGGCTGCCCAAGTTTTAAAATCCATATTTAAAGTCCTCTTAACAATCAACTTATGAAATGAGATATCTGCAGCAAAAGTAAATATGGACAAAGTAGACCATCTTATTAGTTAGTCTTACTTTTTCAATTTTTAAATAAAGTTTGACCTGAATCATAATTGGAAATATAATCTCAGTTGAAAATATTGAATTATACAGAACATTTGTAGTTACTTTCTGCCTTACGTGCAATATTGTTGGAATTTTTATTGAGAGAATAGCATAGAGACACAAAACCAAGGTTTAAAAACTATATGAAGGGCGTCTGCTTACGTTATTCCCGGGAAGAGAAGTAAGTGAAAACCCGGTAAAAGCACAGCGGCAAACTATGAAATCATGCTTAGTTTTTATAATGGATAACATTGTACAAAAGTTGCAATCGTTTCTATGAATAAATACGGGAATTGACATGTATATTTGGTTGATTTTTTTCTCCCTCATGTTCTAAAATACAAGTGCGCGTTTGTGTATGTAGTGGATGGAGAAAAGTGGCGAGTCCATGACAGTTTTCCAACAAACATGTTTTAAAGACCACTATGGAATAACATCATTGCATTTTTGTAATGGTTGAGCGATCGGATCGACTCACAGACAGTGAACAATCAGTGAGGTGCCTGGGGCTTTTCACAGTCAGTCTGGGCGAAAAACTTAAAACTGCGCGAAAACGATTGTAGCAATTTGTTGAGCTACAGAGAGAAGTGTAAAAAAGAGAAGCTGTCCATTGAGGCACTGTACTTTCACCCTGAGTCCGCCAGGCTGTTACCTTCGAAATGTTCGGCGGATTTATACGAGTGGAAGGGGCCTTGTAGACGGGAAATATTTTCCCTATTATCAAGTTTTCGCACCAAGCATTGCTTTCGGCAGATAATGTAAATGAAATAAAGTCCCCAGACCCAAGCAAACTCAGTTTATTAAACACGAAACACGCTGCCCATGATAAAGTGTTTTGCTTTGTTTTAAAAAGGTTATTCCGTGAATTTGCAGGGCTGAAAATAAATCCAGAATGAATGTTTGTTTTGGCTAGTCGGTAAGGAGCATGTTAGTAAATACACGCAGACGTTACTTTGAGTTTTGTGTCTGTCTATTGACATGTTTCTCTATATTTGTGCATGTTTTTGAAGCCTGGTCGGGTGATAATGCTGTCCGATTTGCTTCAGATAAGGACAAAGCGATACCAGACAGACTGACTTTGCAGTTTGAATCATAAACAGTTTTGATAAAAGTTGCAACGCATTGCCTTTCCGAGTGGAGAATTAATGCAGCGAACTTCACAACACGTATTGCACAGGCTTGAGTGTTTCTGTGTGTGTGTGTGAGTGAAATTACACCAGCTAATGCTGGGATTTCAATTCATTTTTAAAAAGTGCCCAATTTCAACAGAGGCGATTAAGGCGGGCTGTATTTTCTATCAAGCTGTCCAGTAACACGCCTCTGGCATTGAACCCTTGGTCACTGACTGACTCAATTTTCATTCATTCTGCCAGACATGTTTATTCCGCAGCAGAAATCCATAGTACTTGGCAGCGGGCAGTGCTGACATTTTGTACAGTGGTTTGCTTGTTTCAAACAAGTGTTTGGAGCGATGCATTTAACCAGCATGCGTCCGATGACTGGAAAAGAATACCGAGCGTGCAAGCAGAAGGATTTTGACTTTTCTCGTCTCCCTCTCGTCAAGGTGAGACGGAAGCTACAAACGTGTCCTTTTTTTTCTTTTGGAGATCAACACAGGAATACTGTTTAAATATTTTCTAATTGAAAATGTAGAACGCGGGACCGGACCATTTAACCTCAATCAAGACCCAATGCAACAAGAAACATTCGGAGTTAGGGACAAGAAAACTATCCCCCGGGGAGACAAAATCGCCTTTTCACTGGTTCGATGCTTTGCGAAAGAGGAGCATAAACAGTGATTTTTATGCACACACAGATTTTATTAAGAAAAAAAAGCTCAATGACATTAAAGACGGCTACACCTATACGATTCTCATGCTTTCAGACAGGATTCAAGAGCACGTTGCATGCGACTACGTCTTCCTACCTCTCTACTAAACCCCACCCCACCCCATGTCCCGTCAGAGGCCAAATAGTTTCGGGAACTTTCGCTCAGAGTTGAGGAAGGAAGCTTGATGTGATCAGGCTTGGGGGTGGGTGGGGGGTTGGTGGTGGAAGGATCGGGTTTGAAGGTCACCGGAACTGGTACTTTAAGAAGGTCAATATTGTCTTATTCCTTCTGATCTCAACTTGGTGTGTGGGGCCGCCGATGTGCACTCAGTGGTAAACATCGCCCTTTAGTTCAATGGGTGCTTTTTAAAAAGGGATCTGCACTGATTTATACTAAATCTTCGCGAAGTCCCTAATGTTTCAACCTCCCCCCCCCCCCTCCCCATCTCCCCCAACGCTTATTAAGTGTCTCCAACGCTTCGCGTCCAGCAATATGTTTTCATAATTGCGGGTAAAATCGCAACAAACCCTTTCCTCCACCACCACCCCCCCCCCCCCCAACATCGTGTAGTTCAGATTCATTCTTTTTTCGTGTGAAAATTCGGAATTAGGTTTAGAAACTGCACCCCAGCTTTTCCATTTGTCAAAGAAACCCAACTGAGTTACTCACCCGATCTGAAATTGACCTGAAATCGATTGACTGAAAGGTCCCAGGGAAAGGAGTAAGTTGCTGCTTGAAATGCTGCGGGCTGCTGACTTGTGGCCGAGGATATCAGTGGTAGGTTTTAAACAGATACACACGTCTTGCAGGGGGAGCAAAACAAAAAAAGACTGTTGATAAGTTTCGTCATTTGTGAGGACAGAGCATTTGGCGGATAAAAAAGTTTGCAATGCGAGAATTCTGATAATTACGATCGAAGATGGACTGATTGGAATGGACTGTGAAAGTTGAACTGCGGCACGTATTCCAACATGCTATTATCTACTTCATGTTGTAGTATATTCTCGAGATGATATTCTCCCATTTTATTTCTGCTATAGAATACTTTTAATGCACCCGGGGCTAACGATGACATAAATGTGTTAGAACCTAAATGAATATCACTGTCTGAAATATAGAGCCTGGAAAGGGTCATCCGTCATCAGGCGTTATTGGTCACTGGGACACTTAAAACATGACCATTTTAAAGACATTATGGGAGATGCATAAATAATGAGCAGGTTTATGACTGAAGCTGTCTCCAGGCTAAATGCTACCTAGGTTAGTGCTTAAATGACCGATTATGCTTTTTCTTTATGAACAGGAAACGAGTTCCGGGGCCGGAGCAAATGAAGGGTTAAAAAGCGACAGTGTATTGTGCAACAATGCCCGGCACTTTACATTTCCATCATGTTGAAGGGAGGACAATTTTTCAACAGTGATCCATTTGGATAGAAAAAAGCAGTTTTCAGTTAATTATCGTTTAACACTTTAAACATAATTATGTAAACATTTAATATGACCTGAATGCTGTATACATGGCAGCCACCACACTCTAAAACAATTCGTTTAACTATGGCAGTCTAAACTGTATCCAAGGCTGAGGTTAAGTTTATTGATTTACACAATTGGAATGAAGACTTTGGAGACTGAAGGACAGTGGGCAGTTTGTACCATAACTAAACAGTGCATCTTCCTTTTATACATCATTATAAACCCTTAATTTGTCTTCTCCATAGTTCACTCGACACGTGCAAGTGTATTTATTTTGGTGTGGTATTGGGCCAGAGCAGTGCCAGTAGTCACATTGTTCTCAGCCAAGGAATAAAAAGGCAAGACAGTTGAGTTTTGGTGCACCTGGACTGAACAGAGAAAGGCGACTCACAGACACGTGCTGGAAAACATGCAAGTGTGCTTGTTGGGTGAGGACAACATCGTGCTTGACTGTTGGGCACATTGGCAATTTGGATGAAACAGCATACTACTCTAGGTGGTTATCAGGCAAATACTGACATCTTTACAAAGGGGAGGTAATGCTTGTTCTGGATGGGCCAGGAGTGGTGGTGGTTAATAGAAGTATGAGTTGGTGTGGTGTGGGGGGTGGTGTGTGAAGTCTATTCGCATCTGGAATACAAATAAAAAGACTGGGTATCTTTAAATCCTTGTAATGCTCAAAGAATCATAGAATCCCAAAATGAATTCATATTGTTGCCGTGTGTAACTTGGTGTGAATCTTTCTTTGTAATCACTGCTGTGAAGGGCATTGTGATGTTTTGACATATTAAATATTCTATATAAATGCAATTTCTTGTTAATAAAAGTCAATTGCATTTATACTACTAATATCAGTTTCTGTTACACCAACGAACTGTACACAAATACCGGGAAAAGGCATAAATAAAAAAAAATTCAAAAAGGCAGCCCAGCAACATTATGTCTGACATCGAGGAAGTATTTAAATAGCACTTTTCACTTTCACAAGCTATCATTTACCTTTCTTTTGAAGTGTAGTCACTGTTGTCAAAAACACAATAACATGTGTTTTGCTTTGAGTATCCTGCAAAGGTCTGGCACATCAGGGTTTTCAAGATATGATATAAGCCAATTATTATGATTAATATTATTACTTGTTAGATGAATGCATTTGTAGCCCTTAATGTTGATTAGAAGGGTTGCTGGCGTGGATCACAGGTATGACCAGATGCCATTTCGATGTTAATAGTCATAATGGAGCATTACCCATATGCCAGTGCTGGAAGACAAGTTTTATAAGATATAGCAGTGATTATTTTTAAAATATTGTGCTATACAACTTTTTAAATAGCTGCAGCTCCACAAATGCCCTAATTATACTAGCCTGACAAAATTGATAACAATATGGGAAGTAGCAACATTTGGCATCAAATGATGATCAGAGTCATTTGTGAAATTGCTCTGAGAATATGCCATTTGCTATGCTTACAGACTATATAGCATTATATTTACTTGTGAACTTCACTTAACGAAGGGTGAGAACTGAAAATTAGAATTGATTCCATTATTTTTCTGGAAATCTTCATTTTTGGTAAAACCCAACCCAACTCATCCCATTGTGATTTCCTTTAAAAATTCAGTAACCAACAGATAAATAGATCAACATTTACTTCTGTTTGAAGTCTTGTTCAAAGCTTGCACCTTATGACAACAATGTCTCTAAATACGATAAATTGGGGAACTCTAATCCATTTTATACAGAACAAGTAAACGCGAGCAACTAATATCTTTTCCTCTTCAGAGAGCAAAGTCTAATTACTGACCCCAGGTACTTGTCCCAATTGATAGAATTACTGTTATGCAAATTAGATGCAACAGGAGGAGCTGGTGTATTAAGTATCATTCCAAAACAGCATCTCAAAAGATTAAAGTTCAGACTTGCCCACATAGTAAACTGAATCCCCACCCAGTAATTTCCTCCTTAAAACTTAAGGTTTTTTCGGTGTTTTTATATGATGAAAGTTTTGCAGTTTAAAGTGTTTAATTGTTATATTTGTCAGCAAAAAACTTGCACAATATTGAATGCATAACATGGAATGGCAAACTGCAGAGTGAATGACATAATAAAGCTGAGTTGATTTACGAGTCAACTTAGGAATGCAATTTCAAGTCACCCCTCTGAATCCTCAGAAATGGAAAATGCCTTTATATTTGCCAATGTACTAACAACAATTCTGATGAGTTTTAAAGGCTAACATTGCCAAACAGATCCAGACCTGAAAGTGAATTGCAAAAGGTGATGTAACCTACAGTTGTACAGGATTACAGTCAATTAGAAAATGAACTTCCCCAGTGAACATGTTAGAATCAAAATCCTAAACTAAGTTAGCTCTGTTTTCTTTTCCAGTAATCTGGTAAATTACACGTTCCATACATTAGAATGAAGGTGCCCAATTTAAATAGTGTAGAGGTTTTACCTTGTGGCAGATGGAAATCTTGTGTTTTGTTTTGGCCAAACAAGGACTTAAAGGGACAAATGAAAGTGCCCAAAAACATCTGTGCATCTGAAGATTAAATTACTGGCGTATGAAATTCTCTAATCCCACTGGCAAATGTGATGGCCACTAAGACATGATAATGTGAATTTCATGACAACTGGTTTAGATCAACAGTGTCAGTATTTTTTATATAGGATTCAGGAAGTTGTGATCATCCAAATTCCAATCCCACTCACAATTTACTTACTCACCTGAATGTTTAGGAATCATGAGAAAATTATTAAAAAATGGAGTTTGTTAGCTCAGTTGGCTGGTTAGCAATATAATGTAACACCAATAATATGGTTCAATTCCCACACCAGCTGAGGTTACCATGAAGGGCTCTTCTTCTCAACCTCTCCCTTACTTGACATGTGGTGACTCTGCTGAGAAACTGCGGCTATAATGACTTTACTTTTTATACTAGTGTATTGTTGCTCATGACAGTTTGGACAATACATTAGCCCAGAAATTCTAATCAAGGCAATGAATTTCATATTTAAGGAACGCTAATGCATTCTTCTCTCAAAATCAGACAAAGCTGGCTGCCCAAATAAATTTCACACAGTACAAGTGTGACCATTTGATCTCAAAGATACTGCAGCAGGATGGGAATATGTTTGCTACCTAAAATAGTTATTTCCACAGATTTGTGAATTTTTTTTCCCTTAACTTGGTTATTTTGCAATGAGGAAAGCAGATTAGAAGAAAGGCAGTTTTAGCCTGCTTGTTTTGGCAAACTAATGCGATATGATTGTGCAAAACAGGTTTTATACCTTCAGAGATAGTAGGAACTGCAGATGCTGGAGAATCCGAGACAACAAGGTGCAGGGCTGGATGAACACAGCAGGCCAAGCAGCATCATAGGAGCAGAGAGGCTGACGTTTCGGGCCTAGACCCTTCATCAGAAAAGGGGGAGGGGAAGGGGGTTTTGAAATAAATAGGGAGAGAGTGGGAGGCGGATAGAAGATGGATAGAGGAGAGGATAGGTGGAGAGGAAACAAACAGGTCGAAGAGGCGGGGATGGAGCCAGTAAAGGTGAGTGTAGGTGGGGAGTTAGGGAGGGAATAGGTCAGTCCAGGGAGGAAGGACAGGTCAAGGGGGCGGGATGAGGTTAGTAGGTAGGAGATGGGGGTGCGGTTTGAGATGGGAGGAGGGGATAGGTGGGAGGAAGGACAGGTTAGGGAGGCGGGGACGAGCTGGACTGGTTTTGGGATGCGGTAGGGGGAGGGGAGATTTCGAAGCTTGTGAAATCCGCTGTACCTTCATATTCCTGACTTGTGCCTGAGAAAAGCTTTGAGAATCAAGAGTTATCGCAGAATTCACAGCCCCTGGGCTACCCTACTTGCTTCAGAATTTATGTGGCTGATGAAAATCAATTTCTGGTCAATGGTAACACCTAGGAAGTTGACAGTAGGGTACTCCACTGTCGTTAATGCCATTGAATGTCAAGGGGAGGTGATGTCTTTGCCCAGCACTTTCATGACCGAAATATTACTTGCCAGTTATCAGCTAAGCTAAGCCTGTAAGTTGTCCAAGTCTTGCTTGCAGACATGGACCTTTTCTGTAACAGATATGACTGGAGAGACACAGCAAATCTGTCAGTGTCTATGGAGAGAAAGCAGAGTTAATCATAGAATCCCTACAGTGTGGAAACAGTCCTTTGGCCCAATAAGTCCACACCGACCCTTGGAGAATCCCACCCAGACCCATCCCTCTATAACCCACCTAAAATACACATCCCTGAATATGACGGGCAATTTAGCATGGCCAATCCACCTAACCTGCACATCTTTGAACTGTGGGAGGAAACCGGAGCATCCGCAGGAAACCCACGCAGACACAGGGAGAATGTGCAAACTGCGCACAAACAGTCGCCTGAGGGTGGAACCAAACCCAGGTCCCAGGTGCTGTGAGACAGCAGTACTAACCACTGAGCCACTGTGCCACCAAAAAGTGTCAAGTAATGTGTCAAGTCAAGTGAGCCTTCAGCATTCACATTCTTTCATTTATTTTATTGGACTGCTCCATGTCTGACAAGTTGCAAACAGAAGCCGACACTGTGTGATCACAAGGGAACATTCCCAGTTCTTATTTTGTGACAGTGGTATTGGCATAGAACTTCCAGTCTCCAGGTAGTCAAAGAATGGATGTACGTCCCAAGATGCATATTGGGACACTACAGAAGTCTCACCATGTTGATTCCATGGTAATTCTCTGAGAAATGTAAACTTATAATAGACAATTCGCTGCTCCCTGTGATCCTCTGGAAAATGTTTCCAACTCTGAGTAAGAGGCAGAGACTTTGTATGATTCTGATTTACTCACCAGAATATTTAACCAGAAAATGTTAAACAAATTAAAACCTAGCTAAACTCCTGTATCATTCAAGAAAAGCAGGTAAGACAATGTTACAGCTGTTATTGGATAGCACTGGTCATGTTGACATTGACAGCTGTGCAATCAATTTCAAGATTCATGCTTTGGCATGTTAGCAGTCATTGTGTTATTCAGATTCCTTTTGACAGAAACTGAATTCCAGCATCCAGAGTGTTTCACTCTGTTTTACCTGCAGTGCACAACTGTTTAAAATGTCTTTTCCCAAAGCTGTGGCCCTCATAACAACTAGGATGTCTAGCCAATAACAAACAGACTAGTGAGCTTTTAATTTCTTTGTTGGCATCCTCCTGGAGGGTAAGTAGACATGTCTGCAAGAGATGGATTTTTGTTGAAAAAAGGGCAGTTTTGGTTTTCCCAGCAACATTTCTCTTTTTCATTAAAAAAAACACATTTGGAATGAAAAGTAGAAAAACAAAAGTCTATAAATACATCGGATTACTAATCTGTCAACATAAAACTAGGTATGACTCCAACCAGCAAAGACTTTTCCCTCATTTTGCAGTGGCACCAGTTTTGCCAGGGCTCCTTGATACCTTATTTGGCGAAACACTGCCTTAATGTCAGGGGAGGTCGCTGTCACATCACCCTCTGAAATTCAGCTCTTCCATTCATGTTTAGAACTAGATTATACTGAAGTCAAGAGCTGAATTGCCCTCCCAGAACCCAAACTGAGTGCCAGTGAAGAAATTATTCCTTTGCAAGTGCGGCTTGCAAGCACTGTTGATGACCCCTTCCATAAGTTTGTTGATGATCGAGACTATACTGATAGGATTGTAATTGGCTGGCTTGGATTTATCCTGCTTTGTGTATCTGGATGTACCTGGTCAAATTTCCACACAGTTGTGTAGATCTCAGTGTTGTAGCTGTACTGGAACAGCATGACTAGGGGCGCAGCTAGTTCTGGAGAACATATCTTCAATGATC